GCGCGGCCCGCGTCGGCTCCCGTAGTCCGGCTCCGGCCTGGCCCAGCGCCTCGGGCTCGCTCGGCGGCGCTCGGGCCGACTCGGCTGTTCTCGGGCCCGCTAGGCCCCGCCCCCACCCGGCCGCTCCCTCCTCCCCCTCGTCCGCCTAGGTCCCCTCAGGCCCAGCAGTGGCCGTGCCGCCTGTCCGTTCACTCGTTCCCACCGCGAGGGGGTGCGGCTCGAGGGGAAGGAGGAGGCGGCGGCCGCGGTGGCGGCGGCCGCGTACTGAGGGAGGCTCGGCTTCCGCGGCAGCAGCGGCTTCGGCGCGGAGGTCCGCAACGGCCTCGGGCGCCCCACCGCTTCGGATATTTCCGTCGCTCGCCGACTTCGGCTTTTCTTGCCTGGCCTGCGCTGTGCGCCTGCGCAGCCGCCGCCACCCCGCGTTGCTCAGCGATAGGTCTTGGTGTTCGGACACTTTCGGCTAAGCTCGGTCATTTCCGGGGACGCTCGCGGGTCCAGGCATGGGCGGTGCCGCCGCCATCTTTAAGTGGGGCAGATTCAGGTCGCTTCGCTCGTAGTCCACCCTTGCAGACGGCTGAGTGGGTGCGTCACACGAGGTCCTTGCCCCTGGAGGTCACAGAGGCAGGGTGACCAGGGCGGGCCAGAGCCACGGCAAGGCCATAGGCGTTGCCCAAGGAGTGCGGGGTTTAGTACCCTCGATGTCCCACCGCAAACGCAACCCGCTCGCGGAGATCCTGGCTGAGGTAAACTAGCAAATAAAACGTGTATTGCGCTAGAGAGTGGTAAGCACTTTGGAGGTTCACATAGGTGGACACTTAGATGGGAATGTGGGGCAGGGGTGTTCTCAGAGCGGGTCCCGAGTTCCAGTGGGGACGCTTTACGATCTTCAGCTCTCAGTATGGTCAGCCTCCACTCCAATCACAGCTCAGCGTTTCTCTGAGGGCGGGAGAAAGCGGCGCGGGGCGGTTCTGCGACTTCCGGTTGTCACCACGGAAACCGTCAGGCGGGTGAGCTGCGCGGCGAGGGTTGGATCGGGTTTGGGGCAGGGCAGATGGGTGCATCCGGAGCTCTGCAGCTTGGTCTTTTTGCGACCGAGTGCGGCTCCCGCTGTACGTCCCCTTGCGTCTCTAAGGCGACCTACCGTCATCGCCTGGGGCTTTGTGGAAGAGGTCTTGGCGGTCCAGTTGGGCCGGCGCTGGGGTTGGATAGGGGTGTTTACGGGTTCCTCTCAGCCGTCGACCCCGGAGCCAGGCCTGCAGTCCTGACTTAAGAGGAGTCGCCCTGACGCCATCTCATCCCCAGCGCCTCCTCAGACCCGACCTGGCGTCCACTTCAGCCATCCTCACCTCAGGGAGTCGCCTCCACCTCTTCGGATCTTGGGCTGGCGTCCATCTTGGCCCCAGCCTCCTTAGAGGCCCTGCTCTGTGGGTTCTCTGGTACCATTGACATCCTCGGGCTCCATGGACTGATCCCAGTCGCGTCTTTGCAACAGATTCCTCTTAGGCCCTTCCATTCTCAATGTCACCCTCCCAGACACCCCTTTCATTCCTCTGGTTGTGCCCTTATGCCAGCCTCACAGTCTCAGCATCCTTTCTTAATTCCTTTGTGCGTTGCGTGCTGGAGAGGTGCCAGGGTGAGGAAAGGGACTCAGGAGCATCAAACAGTTCAAATTGGGGGCTGACATTGCAACCATACCAGCGTTCTCAGGCTTCAGACATGGCTGGTCTCAGGACTCACATGGCCCCTCCAGACTCACTCTTCCTCTATCCCTTTCTCTCTGTTCTTCTCAGCCATTCTGCTCTCCCGATTTATTGTACAGGCTATCTCCAGCCAAAGGTTGATGACCACTCTTTTTGCAGCCAGTCTCAGGGGTGTTGCCTGTTGGTCACACTAAACCATGTGTCCATCCTCAGGCCAGTTTCTGAGGCCCATCAGCTGAAGGCCCATCTGAGGATGGGGTATGGTTCCCTGGAGAGGTGGCGCTGCACTAGCCAAAGCTAGACTCATGTGGTCTGTGACCTTATGGCTTCCTAACCATCCAGTGGGGAACACTGAGCCATGAAACAAAATGCTGGGTAAAGGGGGTCATGGGATCTGGACCAGGAAGGAGGGGATGGCTGTGCTGAGGCTGGGGGTTGGGTTGGAAGTGGTGCAGCTGTGTTTCCCTTGTTATTCTCATGGCCACACAGTGACAGAGGGGCACAGGTGGTTTGGGTGGTGAGGGTGCCTGTATCCTCTGGGCCTGGCATTTGGAGGGATTGGGCAGCACATGGCAGGTGAAGAATGAGAGTGGAAGTGCACTTGGGGTATTAGCACAGCTTCTGGGAGCTGTAACTGGGAAGATAGGATTGGTTTTGGAAAGGAAGTGCAGGAGCGGGCAAGGAAGGGAGGCTGAGTATTGTGGGACTCCAGGCTGGTGGTTGGGATCAGAGGAGTGGTTCTCTCCAATGGAGAGAATTGGACAGGTTTAGAAGGCTTGGGGTTGGGAATAAGAATAAATGGATGCATGCAGCATAGGGAGACTGTGTTTGGGAGTAAACAGTATAGGCTCAGGTACAGATGATCCAGGGACAGGCTGGTTGGGCACTGTTGTAGCTTCCCCAGATGCCAGTGCCTTAGGGGTTCCCCTCCTGGCTTCCCCCTGTGGCTCTGGCTGAGTGAGGCCAAGTGGTCATCCTGTCTAAGCCCTCAGCTCTGCTGACAGTATGGCAGCCGTTGGGTTCACAATCCGCAGCCTGGCTTGCAGAGCTGTCCCCAGCCAACTGTAGAAATAGCCTTTTGTGGGACGGGGGGTGTTGGGGCTCTCACATCACTTTTCATGTTTGTTTCTTAGAGGACTGGTTCAGCAGGTTGGGTCCATGGACTTCTCATGACTTTGGGCATGGGGCCTTGGCCTGATGTCTGCATGCTTTTCGTGTGTGTTGTAATTTTTCTTGTGTGGAATTTCAAGTTGTTAAATAGTCATGTGTGCAGATTTCTCATCATGTTCTTCTTAAACCAAGATGATCAAAACATGAGAGCAGCCTTTCTTCTCTTTGTTTCTGATTATAAAATTCACACAGGCTTTGAAAAAAATCCATGTCACAGGATTTATGAAGTTGTGGCAGTACCCCTCACCCTCAGAGCACTAGGTATCTCAGTGTTTGTGTGCCTTCCTTAATCTGACTCCCAGCCTCCGCCTAGGGACCAGTGACTGCCCTCCTCCCCTCTGATTCATATATCCCAGATTAGAGTCCTTAGAGTTCCATTTATAGTTGGAGAGGACAATGAGTGTTGGCGTAGGGCCCAGGGGACTCCCCCCACCCCCAACTGTGTCACATGGGAGTGTCCCTACATGGGGACCTGTTGACTCTGCCAGATGTAGATTCCACAGTGGCCCTAGTCCTGGTTGGGGCTAGGCCAGGGGGAGATGGGGAGAGGGGCAGAGTAGGAGAGGGAAGGGAGCAGGAAACACACCTTCTCTGGGATGGCTATTGGAAGCCTGTGGCCCAGGTGGCTTGTCTTCTTTCCCTGATTTCAGGACTCCAGTCTTGTAGCAGCAGAGGAAAGTCCAGGTGTATTTCTGGAAGAAACTTGGACATGAGCCTCAAGAAGTTGTTTTTGGGGGTGCCTGCATGGCTCATTGGGTTAGGTGTCCGACTCTTGAGTTTGGCTCAGGTCATCTCCTGGTTCATGAGTTTGAAACCCTCAGAACGAGAGCAAGATGACGCCTGCCCAGAGTGGGGTTTAAGTCCCAAGCCAGATCGTGATGCATGAATATTCTTTATTTGGCACTGCTTTTCATTCTGTTTTTGGCGCCCAGTATACCCACCGTTTGGGGGGCAGGGGTGCTAGGTCAAGGGCCTACAATCAGACGGAGGGGGCAGATAACTAGGGCAAGAGGAAAAGTAGAGGGTTCCAGAGATGCCAGCCCACAATCTGCAGGACATTGAACCCGTAATGGCAGCAACTGTATTTTCATGTAAGCTGCTGCTGGCTGTGTTTCCTATGGCTTGCCACTGAACACATTCCTCATAGAGACCATCCAGTGTGGGGGAGCCTTTGGGGGTTGTGCACCTGGCCAGGGTTGGTGGAGACTGTGGCCCATGGAATGTGAATGATTACTAGAGGGCTGGGGAACTGGCCTGGGGCCAGTTGACTTCAATTTCCAGACTGGCTGGGGTTCTATCCTAAAGGGAACCTAACCTGAGCACCTGCTGGTAGTTAACATGCGTGAAAGAATCTAGATTTCTAGATAAAACCTTCCAGCTTTTATGCCTAAGAAATGGCTTCCTTGGTTTAAAGTTTTACAAACATATCCCTAGCTCTGGCCTGCTGGACACCAGTTTGCTACTTCTGTTGCACCTGATGATCTTGGCTGGCTGGGGAAAACTGGGCCAGTCCTCACTTGGTAGTTGACCTGACCCAAGGTTGTTCAGGTTGAAGGCATCACAGACAAATAGTACAGCAGGCATGGTACAAGGCAGCACCCACAAGATGCTGTTAGGAGTCACCCCTGCAGGGGGCCATGGCTCTCACAGAGACTGCGTGGTTGCAGAAGTAGTAGATGGGTGGGGTGGATGGAGGGACCCGCCCAACTACTGGGGAGGCATTGAGTGGGTGGATACCAGACCCAGGTTCTGTCTATTGTTTATTGAGCACCTACTGGGGATCCAGGTCCTGGGTGGACCTGCCTGTACCTAAGCTTGATCACAGCCCTCACAACAACCCTGTGAGGTAAGTGTTCTGCGTGGGCGTGCGTGCACACGCACACACTCCTTCCCCCCAACAAAAGGCCAAAAGAGAGGGACGTAGAGGAAGGGTACCGTGAGCGCTGGTTACTCGGCACTGTGGATGCGCTGGTGCTGGATAAGCTTAGTGCTCTGGTGGAAGCGGCGGCCACAGTCCTGGCAGGCAAAGGGCTTCTCACGCCGGTGGGTACGCAGGTGCTGTGTGAGCGTGGGCCTCTGGCGGAATGCCTTGCCGCACTCTGGGCACACGTAGGGCCGCTCGCCTGTGTGGATGCGCCGGTGTTGTGTGAGATTGGCGTGCTGCCGGAAGCTCTGGCCGCAATCAGGACAGGCAAAGGGCCGCTCACCCGTGTGGATACGCTGGTGCTCGGTGAGCCGGGAAACCTGCGTGAAGCCCAGGCCGCACTCACTACAGTGGTAGGGTTTCTCCCCGGTGTGCGTCCGCTGGTGGCGCGTGAGCTTCAGACGCTGGCTGAAGCGTTGGCCACACTCGGGGCAGGCAAAGGGTTTCTCGCCTGTGTGCACGCGCAGGTGCTGTGTGAGTGTGGGCCGCTGGCGGAACGCCTTGCCACACTCGGCGCAGGCGAAAGGCCGCTCGCCGGTGTGGATACGACGGTGTTGTGTAAGGTTGGAACGTTGTCGGAAGCTCTGGCCGCACTCGGCGCAGGCGAAGGGCCGCTCACCACTGTGTACTCGCCGGTGCTGCAGCAGCACTGAGCGGCGACCGAAGCGCTCACCACACTCCACGCAGCCAAAGGATTTGTCACCTGTGTGCACTGCCTGGTGTTCTAGTAGCACAGCGCGCCGCGCGAAGCTCTCGCGGCACTCGCTGCAGGGGAAAGGCCCTGGGGGCTCAGGCGCACCGGGAGGTGCAGCGGGTGCAGCGCCAGGGCCGGGGGGGTCGCCGTGGATGCGCTGGTGCTGCAACAGGTTGGAGCGCTGTCGGAAGCTCTGGCCGCACTCAGCACAGTGGAAAGGCTGCTCGCCTGTGTGCACACGCCGGTGCTCCTCCAGGCGGGTGCTGCGCACGAAGCCCTGGCCGCAGTCGCTGCACACAAATGGCCGCTCCTCAGTGTGTGTGAGTTGATGGCGCAGAAGGTGCGAACTTCGGCTGAAGCTCCGGCCACACTCGTTGCACACGAATGGCCGCTCTCCCGTGTGTATTTTCTGGTGCCTCAGTAGGTTACTGCGTTGGCTGAACACCTTCCCGCACACGTCACAGTGGCCACCTCTCCCTGCCCCGGGGTCTGTGCTGGGCCGACCCCGGCCCCGGCCCCTGGGAGCACGCCAGCGGGCTGTGCCTAGCATAGGGCTCATAAGCTGGCAGGAACCCTCATTCGTGGGGTTCTGCTCACCTCCTGGGCCACTGGGGAGCAGGAGCGCACGTGAGAAGCCACTTTCATGGGAGGGTGACCGGAGTTGGTCCGTGAGGCCAACCATGCGGAGGTCCCAGGGCATATGGAGGTGGGGGCTCACAGTGCCTGGGCCAGCAGAGACACTTTCCATCTGGAGTGCAAACCCTGCATTGCACAAGGGGATCCAGTCATGCATGCCAAGAGAACTGTTCCCGACCCACTCCGGCCGGTGGGAAAGAGTGTGAACTAGAGGTGCCTGAAACTAGCCAGTGAGGCAGACAGAGGTAACAAGGGCAGGGGCAAGGACTCTATCTGTGTTTCCCAAAGGAGGTGACAAGGGCACAGAACCTTGCATGAGGAGGAGGATTCAGAAGTTGGGGACAAGCTTTCTAGGCCTGGCTTAAGTTTGCAAAAATTGCCTTTCTGGAAGGGCTCTAGGGCAAAAATGGGTCAGGTGGCCCTTGCACTAGGTGGTGATGGTTTCCACAAATACACAGAAGTGGGTGGGTCTGAGGGAGGTTGGAAGTGGAGCCAACAGGAAGGTAACTTGGAGGGGAGTGGGCCAGGCTGCACGACTTTGGTCTGATGTGCCTTGCCTGAGATGTGCATGGGACATCTGAGGGGCAGAGACTACATGCAGCTGTGGAGTTCAGGAGTTGGGGCTCAGTCTGCAGGGAAGTGTGACCATGGCAGCTGTGGCATATGCATGGCACACAGAGCCCTGGCCCTGTGTGTGATCAAATAAGAGTGGGTGTCTATGGAAAGAAGTAGCAGGTCCTAGCCACGCTGTGAGCACTCTAGCATTAGATGCTGTGTGAGGAAGGAGGTGTAAGCAAATGCAACTGAGAAGCAGGGACTAGAAAAAGAGGAAGGCTGCAAGGAGACTAAGAGAATAGCAAGGACTTCAGTGGGTGACAGAAAATCCAGTAAGTTGTCAAAGAAAAGTCATAAATTACACCGTGTCAAAGGAAATCGTTCATGCACAGCATTGATAACCTTAGAGCCAAAAAATGAATGACAGATTCTCCAGAAGCAAAAGGGTAATTAAGCTTCTAAATAAAGAGCTCCAATTAATCAACAAAACCAATGACCTGACAAAACACGGGCAAAGGAGGTGAACAGGAAAGGAAATGTAACTAATACTAAATCCCATAATATATGCTCAATTCACTCCTGAGAAGAACACTGAATATTAGAGTTGCAGTCATCTCTCATTCTCACACCCTCCCTGGAGGGACCCAAGTGTTTGCATGCCTTGCTAGTAAGCGAAATGGGAAGCTAGTGTGGCAAAATACATTAAAATAGCAAATTTCTCACACTCTGATCAGCAATTTCACTTTTATGCACTTCAACAGTTGTGTTCCCCACTGTTCAAAATGACCTATATATGGGATTTTTCAGTTCACCACTGGAAATCCACACAAAGGAATGTAAGTAGGAGCTGCGATGGATAAACAAGTGTGTCCACAGTGAGCCACACGGGGGCTTCATGCAGCTGTCCAGAGAGGAGGGCACCTGCTGCTGTGTGCTGAAGTGGGAAGATGCAGGAAAAATGTCAGGTGTGAAACATGGTGATTAGGCATTCACATGTATTTTAAAGAGAAACAAGTATGTATCTGAATCTGTGTTTGCTCTTTTATGCACAAAATCTTTTTGGAAGAACACACAAGATGGTAGTGCTGGCTGTTGAGGGACAAGAACTGTATAACACAGGCAGGGGAGGGGCATTCCAGTGTACACTCCCTTGTGCCTTTTGAATTTTCTAACATGGGAATATATTAGCTATTTAAAATACTACGATGAAGGGGCACCTGGGTGGCTCAGTCGGTTGAGCGTCCGACTTCGGCTCAGGTCATGATCTCGCGGTCCGTAAGTTCGAGCCCCGCGTCAGGCTCTGTGCTGACCGCTCAGAGCCTGGAGCCTGTTTCACATTCTGTGTCTCCCTCTCTCTGACCCTCCCCTGTTCATGCTCTGTCTCTCTCTGTCTCAAAAATAAATAAACGTTAAAAAAAAAATAAAAAAAAAAATACGATGAAAACACTGGCTGCACAGGAGCAGCCAGGAGTCCTGAATGGAGACCAAGGTAGCTGAAGGAATCAGTTATTTGAAGATGCGAACTGTGGTTGTCTACAGAGAGAGTGTGGATACAAAGAAAGAACCCGCCAAAGTGTCTGAGGTGGTGGTGCCAGTGTGGATGGAGAAAGCTGAAAGACTATGGGGTTCTGAACTGAGAGAGAAGCAGGTCCAAGTTAGAGGTGGTGGTCAAACAAAGTACGAGGCCCAGCCTGGCCAGCCAGTTTAAGACTAAAACAGCAGATTAGGGATGTGCCAGATCCTACTCTCTCAGCTCCAACATGCAGAAATGACAACAGAACCTGAGAAAATATTTAAAAATGTTTTGGACAGCTCCAAAGGAAAGAAAGGACAGTTGGTGGGGCTTAGGAATCCAGAGCCTGCACAGTGAGCTCTGAAGCCCCTGTGACTTTAGTCCCCAGGTCTAAAGCCAGGCTCTGTCACGAAGCTGGGGGTTGAGGACATGGGCTGGGTTAGCTCAGTCCACCCACATACCTGACCAGGAAAAAGGTGCTTGCTTTTGGCTGGGCTCCAGAAGTATCTTCACTGAATGTCCTGGGGCCCAGATGATACTTCCACTTCAAGGTTATGAGTCTTCTCACCTAGCATGATGCTTAGGGCGGGGACAAATGAGAAGCTCCTACAGCTATGAAGGGCAGACTGTCAACAGTACAACCAGCTGGAGAATTCACACTTGAAGAAACTAAACTAGCTAAACAGCCTGGAAAGGACACTAAAGTATGTCTAAATCCTCAAAGGAGGAATCACCATCCATGAAACAAGGACATTATGGAAAAAGGATGAATTAGGATCCTTATTGACAAAAAACATAGCAAATGGAGACTTACAAGTAATAAAGGTATCTATTTTAACTTTGTTCTATCCTGAAATAACAGTAAAAACCACAACAACATTTTTTGTTTTTTAACGCATAAGATCCACAAAGGTGAGAGGAAAGGAAACAAACAAACCCCGTAACATTTTCTATTTCAGAAAGCTAAGGGGCAAATAGTAACTGTGTAGCAGATTGGAGAAAGTGCATATTAAACTAGTAGTAAAGAAAGTGGAAAAACAAACAACAACAACAAAACCAACCCCAAAAAACCCAAACCCTGTTTGACCCCAAAGAAGGCTTGAAAAGTTCAGGAGCTGGAGGTAGCAGGTAGCTCTGGCCATGGAGGTGAAGAGGCAGGGCCACCAAGCAGGATGGGGAGGCTGTTCAGCAGCAGCTGGGTTGGACTGCTGCAAGGAACAGACCTGGGATGTCTGCACAGAATTCTGAGCAAATAGTGGGCACTGCTGTAGCTCTGATTCCTGGATCTCTTCCCCCCTCCTGGCAAAAGGCTGGGTTGAGGAAGCAATATAACCAAGAACCAGGTAACAGGCATACCAGAAACAAGGGAACAAAACAATAGAGAGGAAAAAAAAAGGAGAGAAACTACTCGAGGTAGTTTCTCACAATTGAGTGACATGGATTTCAAGTTGAAAGGGCTCACCAATGATGATGAAAAAGCTTTGAATCTAAATAAAAAGAATTCCTCAAGCAGCCAAACTAGCCTAATATAGAATGTTAGACCAGTGCGTTTTAGAGATGTAGCATGTCAAAACTTTTTATCTCCCATACCATAGTTCGCAGAAAGGTCCCCCAGAACAAGGGAGTAAACCAAGAAAAAGAAGGGGTCCAGGAAACAAGAAAGAAGACGCAGGGAGACTGGATGATGGCAGACCAAGAGTGGTAAAGCTGAGGTGGACAGCAGAAGGCCTTTAGTCTCCTGCTCTGTCCTGCCTGATCGTCAACCCGTGTCAAGGTCCCTCCTGCCCACTGTCTACTAACCTACTATCCTTGCCAGATCCAGACCCTCCCTCCCTGACTATCCAGACAGTGGGATGCAAACCCAGAATCCATCCAGGATGGGAGGGCTGGGAAAGGACGGGGGTGTGGGGAATACAGGCCCTGCTCTAAGGAGGTTTTACTATGGTGGGGAGCAGTAGCTGGAGGGAACATGAAGTTGGCTGCGGGCTTGACTTATGAGGACAGGAGATGCTGAAAGTTACATGCTGCAAGGGATGGTCCACGGAATGGAGAAGCTTGGAGATGCTGGAATGAGAGGGCCACCTGAGCAGGGCCAGGAGTGGGATGGGTTGATGTGGCGCTACCATGCAGAGGGCCTTGCCCCACCATGTCCCATCTCACTCACCTGGAGGAAAGATGCCCCCAGCTTCCTCCTGCCACAGGGACCCAGGATGCTCCCTCCATGAAGGCCCCTCAAGCCCAGTCTCGCTGTGGGGAGAGGCCTGGTGCAGCACTATCTCACAATCCTGAAACCATAGTGGTCACTGTTCGTCTGTGCCCAGCTAGGTCCAGGGAGGGACCTATCTGACCCCCACCCACTGAGGCTCCCCAGACAGGGTGGGGAGCATGGTCTGTATGGGGCTCACCTGGGCCTCTTTAGGCAGGAGAGTGGAAGTGGCTTCCTGGGGATTGGCTAGAGGCCCAGAATCCAGAAGCTCTGTAGAGGAAGGTTGGGGTCAGGTGGCCCAAGGGTGTCCCCACCCCACTGCCCTCCTCAGTGGTATGCCAAATGCTGGAATCCAAGTTTGGAGCTGGACATGGCTGGGCATCTCTAAGGGCTCAGCCTGGGGGTGGAGTAAAGCAAAGCCCCCTCGAAGACCACAGGAGAAGTTACAGCAGGATGAGACAAGCTCAGGTCTGTGCTCTGTACCCCTGCATGAGTCCTGGGTAGGATGGCCAGTGAGGGTGGAGAGAAGCACTGCACTAGGGTCCACACAGGAATGATGGATGGTGTGGGAAGCCCACTTTGGCATCTGCCTGGAAGGAGTAAAATGGGGAGGGGTATGCCTTCCAGCACCCTGGGGTCCTCCCTCAGTCACACCAACCCATATTCAAGCCTGCTGCCTGCTCTCCAGAGAACTGCTATTATCTCCTAAGGGATCCCCTTGGGGAGTGAATCCCACGTGCCTCACACACAGAACCCCAATAGCTTACTACTCCATGCTAGGGGAGAGCAGAGAAACATAGTTGTAACAGTCAGACTTGGTGTGTGAGGAGTAGTGATGGCCACTAGCTAGGCAGGTTGTGGGGGCTACTAGGGCATATGAACAGTTCCATCCAGCAGGGGACCTTTAGGCTGTTGAGGCCAGGCCCCTCTGGTCCACCCAATCAGGCCTTGGGCCATGCATACCTTGCGTGCCCTCACCTGGGTCCTCTGTAACCATGGGCTCCTCTTTCACCTGAAGGCCCAGCGGTGACTCGTGTGTGGCTTCAGATGGTGTCCCGGGTCCACGTTCTGGAGTCCGTGGCTTGGTTTGATGGAGGGGCTGGAAGTTGGAGGGTTCCATCTTCTCTGATAGCACCTCCTGACCCTGTACTTGGACTGTGACCTGGGGAGGTGCCCCCAAACATCAAGGGCCCAGGCAGAGAGTTGGGTTTTGCACAAGCAGGGGGGTTTATGGGCAACCACCCCATCACAGGACCCCAGGGGTCCTGACCTACTCTGTTCTCCAAGGACCCACTTCCCTCCAGGACTGAGCCAGGAGTGAAGGGACCATCTGCAGTTGCTCTCCTGCTGCAGGCACCCAGGAATGCCCGGTGGTCTCCCTCTCTCCCCACCGTGCATCCCTTCCCATGTCCATGACTCCAGGTGATGTAGGGATAGATCAATGAGGCTGGCCCTGGAAACGCATCTATGCTCACACAAGGTCTGCTGCAAGTGACCACTTCTAAACCACAAGGAATAGGTGTCTGGCTAAGCATGGCACTCCCCAGGGTGGGGCAGAGCTGGATACTGTTCCAGCCTGGACCCTGGCTCAGGGCCACAGACTCACCCATCTTCGGGGCCCTCCTGGCTCCTGGCGAAGCCCTTCAACCAGGGCGGCTGCTTCTTCAGGGCTGCCTGGTCGCTGTCCCTCCACGCGGGCCTGGATCTCAGGGGGCAGTGCACCCAGGAATTGCTCTAGGACCAGGAGCTCCAGCATCTGCTCTTTGGAGTGAACCTCTGGCTGCAGCCACTGGCGGCATAGCTCCCGGAGCTGGGCCAGGGCCTCTTGGGGACCCACTGCCTCTTCATAGTGGAAGTGTCGAAAACGCTGGCGTGCAGTCTCTGGGCCCGGATCCCACAGGGCAGCGTCACCCTCCTCATCTGAGTCCTCCAGCTTCACCATGACAGGTCGCTCATCTTCCAAGGATGTGTGACCTGGGGAGCCTAGTGCTGCAGGCCTCATTGGAAAGACTGGGCTGGGGGCTCCAAGGACAGTGTCTTCCCCTGGGGGAGGAATAGGATGAGGCTGCTGGGAGGAGGACAAACAGCAAATGCTTACTAAGCACCTACTGTATGCTGTGGTGTTCCATATTCAGACCTGCACCGAGTGGAAGGCAGATAAGAAAACGGGCACAGAGAGATGGTCACAAGCCAGGCACCTGAGTCTCTGGTCTCTAGCTGGGACCTAGTCTCTGGTATTCCCTGCTCCAAACACAAGGTGCTTCTTAGGAATAGAAGGCACCCCCTTTCCTCTAAATCCTGTCCTTCTATGTGCACCACCTCATCCTTGCCCTGTGGCTGTCAGGTAAATGACATTTACAACATCCACTACCCTCCCCCCCCCCCCCATTCAGCCTCCAACACCAGTCCATCACTGCACCACCCACACTCCCATCTAGTCTCTCAGACCATTCCCTTCTCAACTTGTTGCTACAGAGCAGCCTCCCTCCACCTCTAACCCCCCCCCCCCGCCCCGGGGCAAAGTCAACTGTGTGGCCAAGCCTCCAGGTAGCATCCCCCCCACCCCAATTCAGCCCCATTCTGAACCAGCTGAACTTACTATCACACCACATAATGCCCCATCATCTCTTCAGTTTCCTGATTTAGGCAGGGTTAGGAGGTGATGGGGTAGCTCCAGGGGGCCCACAAAGGCCCCAAGACCACTGGACCGGGTGCCTGCAAGCAAGGTTGGAGATTCTAATCTGGCCTATTTGCTACATAACCTTGGCAAGTTTCTGTGAACCTCAGTTTCCCCATCCTTACCGATCCCCTGTAAGTGGGGGCGCTCCCCCCTCCCTGCCATTGCTGCTCCTTTTGCAGCTGGTGTTAATGTGCAGGCTTTGTGAAGAAATCTGAGTTTATTACGTGAGTAAGAATCGATTTCCAGGGTCGCCTGATCCCGTGAGTCAAATTCCGTTCCTGAAGGTTCCAGGTCAACCCGAAACCCTGGGAAAAGGTTGGACCATTTTTAAGCCGGCCAGCCCCTGCGAAGGTTTCTGCACTACATTTACCAGAAATCTTGGAGGGCAACTTCCACTTGGGAGAGCGCCCTCTTCCCACTCCCAGGGTTGGTCTAGTGCCGCCAGGGCAACCGGGAAGGGGGGGCGGGGCTCCGAGAGCTTGTCGCTGTGGCATTTCAGTGATAGATGAGCGTCGCCGACAGCACCGGGCTCACCGAGAGGGAGTGCTTAGGTCCCTGTTCCGCACTCCCGCAGGGTAGCCGCAATCCAAGAGTTCCCGGTCGCCGCCCGGGTCCCCGCCCAAGCCTTCCTCTTTGAGAGGTCCCCGCCCTCACCTCCACGCTCAGCGGGCCGCTCCGCGCTCCTAAGCATGCGCAATCGCCGGCTTCCCCCTCCCCGGACGGACTAGGTCTCCCAGAATGCTCCGCGCACTCAGCCCGAGTGCCACCTGGCTCTTCCCCCACCCTCGCCTCGTTTTCCACCCTCCTCCCCTGTTCCCCGGTGTAGCATTCGCAACGATCAGATCACACGCCCGGCCGCCTCTTCCGCGCTCCCCGCCTCAGATCCAGGCGTCCATGCCCTGTCGACGTGCGTAAGCTTCTCTGGGGGCTTCGAACAGCAGCACCGCCTTCCCAACCGCGCATGCCCCCCACCACGTTTTCCTCAATTCTTTACGGGTGTTCCTGGGATTAGCAGGGTTCTGCACCAATCACCGTCCTCGCTAGGGCGCCGGCAACCTACGTCTCCATGGCAACCTTCTGCCTCGAAAGGGGCACCTCCTTCATCGCCCGCCCGGACGGCAGATTCGGAGAGGCTTGGCCGCGTGCTTTCTGGGAAGTGTAGTTGGCTGAGACCTCCGTGCGCGTACGCGCAGCCAGACGACGTCCCATTGTGTACGTGGCGGGCCCGGGCGTTTCCATGGTAACCGGATGGGCTGACTAGTAGGTCTCCAGCTCAACCCAGGGGAAACGCTGGCCGTCTGAGAGGCGATGGGGGACGTGGGGTAAGGGCTTGGGGAGCGGGCCGGAGCAGAGAAACCGAGCGAGACAGTAAGGAAAGACAGACGCGAAGACTTCCGGGCAGGGAGAGACCCAAAGCCTATGAGGGCCCACTCGGGGGCAGAGAGATTCAAGGAGAGACCGTGAAAGTAATTGAACAGATACAGAGACCGAGACACCGGTAGGAAAGAAAGTCAACGGGGAGGTATTTCTCCTTTCAGAGACCTAGAGAATGTGGTTAAGAAGCCAGAGGATCAGAGAGTCAGGGCCAGGTAGACAGGAGTGTCAGTAAAGTCAGCAAGAGGGAGGGAGATCAAGAAGGGGTGGATATGAAAGGTGAGACAAAGTGGGAGAGTGAGAATAGATTCACAAAGACAAGAAGTGCAGATATTGAGATTCAAGAGACAGATAAGGAATACAGACATACAGAGGCAAGAGGAGAGGAAGGGACAGAAATTAGAGATGGATTGAGAGTTTTCAAAGACCTAGAGAAGGGTGACAGACGGCAAGTAGAGACAGTTGGAGGGAGACTTGTTAGGGAAACTTATCCAAAAATTGACAATAGGACAAAAAAGGATGACTGGGGACCCTCTCTGCGTTTCCTAGCATTGTCTACCAAGCCCACTTCAGCTTATCTGATTCCCTATAAGAAGTAACTCTTCAGAGGCCAGATTGCAAATGCTTGGCGTTAAGAGTTGTATCAACCTTACAACACTGAGACACCCAGGCCTGCTCGCTTGTAGGGCACCAATTCGACTTTGGGCTTTTATTTCAGTGTTCCTTATTTCTTTCTTTTCTATTAAAGAATTTTCTTTTTTCATGTTTATTTTTGAGAGACAGAGTGAGACAGTGCCAGCTGGGGAGGAGCAGAGACAGGAGACACAGAATCCAAAGCAGTCTCCAGGCTCTGAGCAAGCGTTCAGCACAGAGCCAGGCGCCGGCCTTGAACCCACAAAGTAAGATCATGACCTGAGCTGAAGTCACTTAACTGACTGAGCCACCCAGTCACCCCTCAGTGTCCTTTATTTCTTTCACCCTTTCAGTTCTTTCTCATCTTCCCGGAACCACCTATGTCATCCTGCTAGTTCCCTCCATGAGGTAAATAACTGTTTGGCATGTACTCCTTGAGTTTATTGTTAACTTAAAAAAAAAAAAAAGGATTTGACAGTCTGAGCGGAATTAATTCTCCAGGATGGGGAACGAATTGGGAGAAAGAGGTGACAAAGCTAGGAATGGAAGGAGGTAGGGAGGATAATGGAAAGAAAGCAGGCGGCGGGAAAAATTCGAGAGAAATTAAACAGAAAGCAAGTCAGCTTTGGGTAGAGACAGCCAACGGCGCCCCCGCCTGGGTTCTGCGCGCAGCATCCTCGTCGTCGAACTACATTTCCCGGCTGGCCTGCGAGCGCGGGGCGCAGGGCCTAGAGCGCCGTCGGGGACTGGCCCCGCGCGGTCTAGTCCAATCTCGATAGTCGCCGGCAATCTTCCGCCTCCGCCGACAACATGGAGGCTGAGCTCAGCCGCCCCTGGGAAGAGGCGCTGTAAGGCAGGAGATGGAGAAGAGCCGCAGCCCCAGCCGCCCAGCCGAAGCAGCCGGCCCGCGTCGTGGTCCGGAGGTGCGGGCAGTCAGCCGCGCGGGGGCCCGGGCTCCGGTGGCGGGGGCTTGGGCACCGTTTCTCTCGGTCCGAAACGGCGAGAAGGAAGAGAGGCCGCTGCGCGCGCAGGCCGGGACAAGCGCGAATGGGCCAATCGAAGATTCCGGCGGTCCCGAGGCTTTGTGGGAAATGTAGTCTCAAGGGGACGAGCCCTTGGCTCCACCGAGACATTGGGCAGCGAGCCTCCACCGGCGGCGGGTTTGGAGGCTTTCGCACGAGGGTGGGAGGGAGGGAGGGAGGGAATGAATGAATGAGCATGTGG